CAGTGGATACTGTCCGGCCCCAAGCAGTAATAGAGCTATGGGGAAGTTGTGGTTTAGCTCATGTGTTGCTTCTGAATTGTAGGACATTAGACCTCTACAGTACAGCTCCAAATAACATTTCAGGCTGACATTTCTACCACAGCTGTAATTATTATTAGAAACCAACCTACAAGAGACTAAATTTCAGAACAGGATGGTTAACACTGTAATTTAGCCCTGACTTACCCAAATTCATAGAACTAGTTTACCAAGATTTCTTTGTTTCTTTTTTTTTTTGGACACAGGTGTCCAAGTGCCTAGGCTGGCACTGAAGGTAGATTCCTGATCTCCCATGATGCTGGTGTGAATTTGCTTTCCTGTCTTCAGCTCACACTGCTTACCTTTCTTTGAGAGAAGAACAAGAGCAAACTCACCAGTCTTGCTCTCTCCACACTCATTCTGTTAGGACTTCTATACTTGACTACAGCCAGATGTTGTTATCTTGAAGCATTTTGCTGTCCGTAGAGAGTAATCCAGTATGAGTCTGCCTGTGGTGTCTCTCCTTTGACTCATTTAAGCAACTGTTCCCTCACATGCTCTAATACAAGCCTGATATACTTATTTGCCTGCTCTGCTTCCCCTTCCTCATCCCAAAGAAGCAAAGGTGACAGAGGAGGTCATTATGATTTTGTCCTAATCACTTAGAATTTAAGTGCAGGATGTCTTGCTGAAAGGCTCTGAAAATCCACTGTGAACTGAGAGGTATTTTTCATACTGAATTCCTTGTTATAGAGATTTTGCTGCAGTTGCTCAGAGTCTCTGTTAACCATCTTCCTCTGTTTCATTTCAGATGCAACAAATGTACCAATGCAACAGTTGGAGAATTCTGGCTCCCTAGCTGAAGCATTTAATCTGATGTCTGGCAACATAAGTGATGATTCTTGACAACTTTTCCTGACAACAAATGGACAAGAAGGAAAACATTGCTTTTTGACTTCTAGAGAGACATGGGAAGGGACACTGGAGTTTACAAAATGCATTCAAAAAAACAGAAGTTTGAAGATGATAAACTAAACTGATTTTCTGATTGC